AGGTGCCGCGTTGGGTGGCGGTAGCCGTTCCCGTTTCCGAGTGGGTATCTTTTTGTCGTCGGTAGCGTGATTAACCTGACGGTGCCGACGCAGGAAGGGAGCTTCACGACCAAGATGGCCCTGTACAAGAACTCCTCCTACAAGCACCCCTACCGGCAGGGCGAGGTGGTGCTCACCACCCGGGACGTGCTCTACGTGGGGGTCTTTGTCGTCGGGGCCGATTCCAACCACCTGATCCTGATGCTGAACAAGTGCTACGCCACCCCCTCGCGAGACAGCAACGACAAGCTGCGCTACTTCATCATCGAGGGAGGGTGAGCGACCGCGGGCCGGGCGGCCCGGCACACCCCGTCGGTTTCCGCGGTGCCTGTCGGGGAGGGCTCTTGAACGGGCGTCGCGATCAGTTGGAGCGGGGCTCCTTTGCTCAGCGAAACGCCGGACGGAGATCTCGAAAGGGCGAGGAACGGGGGGACCTCTTGTCTTCGGTGCCGGAGTTAGGTTGCGTAGCGTAGAGGTACTCGGAGGCCCCGTCCCGGAAGGAGTCGCAGCGGTGGAAAGAAGCGCCTGTCCTCGTGTCGCTGATGCTGCGCGTGGCGGGGCATCTGTAGGGGACGGGGGGGACGCGGAGGTGTCTCCGGGAGTGGGAGCGCGACCAAGCTGGATATTGCAAAGAGAGCTCGCTCTACGGAGGCGGGGCGCGGCGTCCTTGTCCAGAGGAGGCGGGCACGGGGGGATGGAAGCGCGGCGCTGCGGGACCCAGGGCGAGGGGCCTTACAGGGTCAGGGGCGAGCGTCCTCGGAGAGAGGGTTCCCGTCGCGGGAGGGCAGAGTGAGCACGCGTGCTTTGTGCAGGTGCCAAAACATGAAGGACAACACCATCGGCATAGAGGAGAACGGAGTGTCGTTGACGTGTCGTTTCCACGTCACGGTCTTCAAGTTCATTGGGGATTACGACGAAGTCCACCTCCACTGCGCCGTCTCCCTCTGCGATTCGGAGAAATACTCCTGCAAAATAGTGAGTGGGGCCAGCGTCGACGGGCGGCTCGCTTCGCAGGGCTGGGGCGGAGCGTGGCGAGCCCCAGTGCACGGGCGCCGGAGAAGCGGCCGGAGACGTAGCCCTGTGCGGGAGGCCGGGATGGTCGTGAGCGCTTGGAGGTGCCGGGAGGAGAGCCCCGCGGCGGGCAGGTCGCCTCTGGGCCTCTCCGAGAGCGGTCGCGGGGACTGGAGTCGGAGGCGCCTTTGGGAGCCAGCCCGGCCAGAGGGGCCCGGGCAGGGGTCGAGAGTCACGGAGGCGGTGTTTGCCCCCCCCCCAGAACTGCCCCCAGCACACGAGGATGGCCAGCGTGTTTGCGGAGGAGTCCAAGGAGCAGATCCTCTCTGTGGGGCCTATTAGGAGGAAGCGTAAGTGCGTGTGACCCAGAGGAGGGCTGTGGGGTTGCGCGGGCCGCACAGGTTGTGCCTGGCGGTGCGCCGCGGGGCCGTGCCCCGGCAGGGCCTGGTGGGAGGGGACTGGGGCGATGGAGCGCGCGTGTGGACGTCCCGTGGGGAGAGGCTGTTCCTTTCTGCAGGGATTGGGAGGGAGGGCAAGAGACCGCGCAGGGGCGTCTTGCTGCCTGGCGGTGAGTGCGGAGGGTGCACCGGCATCAGTCAGATCAGCACAGGTGTGGGCCACGTCGGGGGTCCGCCTCGCTCGGGGACGTGCGTTTCTAGGGGCCTGTGGGTGTCGCGGAGGAGACGGGCTGACGGCAAGGTGGGCGGCAGGAACCCGGGGTGGCGCGGGGCGCTCTGTTTCCTGCTAGGTGGCCCTGTACGGTGGCTGCTCTCGTGGTCTTTGTGAAAGACCCCCAGAGGAATCTGAGCGTAGGACCGAGTGCTGCTTTGGCGTCACGGGGGATGACGGGAGCCCAGCTGGGTCCCAGCGTTGTCCCCACTGCGGGTGATGGGAGGGGGTGCTCGGAAGGCGATGGGCGCGCTCCGGCGGGCCCCGTTGTTGTAGAGGTGAGCGGGGGAGCGTGGGTCTGGGGCAGCCGGGGGCCTGCGGTTGGGGAGGGTCACTCGGGCATCCTCCGTTGCTTTGTGTGGCCAGGGTCGGGCTGGTGGGGGGACA